TTCTCTCAGGCTTTCACAGAGAGCAAATTGGTCAAGCAATGGCTGTGACTCATCCACATGGCTGACACTGACAAAGGATCTACAAAGTGTGGTACAAGGTTTCAGGATAAATCCTGAGAGGACTTGACTGACCTTATCAGATACAAAAGTTACATTTTTTGTAATATAGGTCTTGCTTTATCTTGGTCTTAACCATCCAGCAGAAAAGTATAAAAACGAGGTAGAAGGGGTGAAGCCATGTTGGTATGCTAGGTTGTAAAAGGCTCAGGTCAACAACTTCTGACACTGCCAGGCCTGCAGATGACCCACTACTATTATGGACTACTGTACTATATTGGAATATTCTGCTGAATTCATGCACCTACAATATTTAAATGACAATGGAATACCCTATCTGACAAAACTAAACAAAGGGGATACAAATGAAGGACCATTTTGTATCTGTATATTCAAAATAGTTAGGATATATACACAGCTACCTTCTCTTAATTCAATGAATAAGAATCTTTATTCTAACAGTGCTGTGGACTGCATCTTGTATAATAAATAAGCACTGAGACAACAATGTACAATGCATTTATTATTGAAACTGTCCCACCAATTGGTTTTGAAACTGTCTCATTGCTATTTGTTTCTCAATAAAATTATTTTTTAAAAAAAGGAAGTGTCTACAGGGTGTTCAGGGTCTCACTGCTAGATCAGACTCATAGTGATCCACCTGTTTACAGTCTCCCAAGAGCTGGGCTTACAGGCACATACCACCACAGCCAGTCTCAATTGGTGTCTCAGTGCACCCCTGGGGCGGGTCTGGCACAGCATGCCCAGGGATTGAACCCCCGGCCCCTGTGCCTGCTTGCAGGTACTTTAATCCACTGAGCTATTTGGCTGGCCGTTAAGTGGATATTTTTAAATACAAATTTTATTCCATACATTTATTCTTGAAGCCCATTTTGTGGTATAATAAATAGCTTTAGCATCATTTTCATATAAATTATAATTAACAGTGTAACTTATCTAAGATCTGGAAATTAATATGCAATGAATTTGACATTTAGAGTCAAGTTGCTGGACATTAAAGCAGGTGTCCATATCTATAACTATGTTCATAATATTTCAGATTAATCAATTCACTCTATTTCAAAGGGAATGAGTACATTTCTATAAAAGTTAATTATCAGCAATTTAGAATAGCAACATCCAATAAAATTTTCTCTAATGATATAAATTTTCTTTATCTGTACTAATACTAATAGCCAAAAGTCCACCACATAGCTATGGAGCACCTGAAACATGACCAAAAAACTGAGTTTTCAAAAATTTTTAATTTAACAAGGTTAGTGCTATTATACTAAATAGTGTAGTTCTGGATTCCAGAAGTGCTAATCACAATATCTGATTAAGGCACACATAGAAATAATAGCTCATACACACAGGAGAAGCGACCAGATGGTCAGTTGATTTTATTACCATCCTGAGGAGACTTGGACTATTTACTATTGTCTGTAAACTCTGAGAATGATTTTTTTTTTTTGTATTTTAGGACAAGGTCTACAGGGTCTCACTGCACAGATCAGACTAGTAGTGATCCGCCTGTTTACAGCCTCCCAAGAGCTGAGTGAGAATGAAAATATTTCTGACATATCTTTATAGTAGGAGCTTCAAAAAATCACTTTTAACTGAATATAAAAGGAAAAGAAAATGAAAAGCTTCCTCCACATGAGGGTAGGGGAGAGGTAGCCTGCATCTGTAGTTGTCAGAGTGTGGTCCCTAAACAAGCAGTATCTTGGAGTCAGCTAAGAGCCTATCAGAAATGCAAATTGCTGCATACATTTGAAATCTCCTGACTCAAAAGCCATGGAGTTCAGAAATATCAAGCCCTCCAAATGATTCTGAAAATGTTAAAATTTGAAAACTATTGACATATACTGTTAAAGGAAAAAAAAAATGGGACTAAATGAGGAGAAAAAAGGTCCAACTCTGCTCTAGCTTGTATCTTAAAAGAAGAACCAAAGTAGAGACACTAGGCTAGTGCGAGTCTCTCTTACCATTTCTTTAATCACTTGGATTTCTTCACTTTTCACAAGTGGTTTCATATAATGGAAAAAGAACATTGTTAAGAATTCTGGCCCCAGCCACTGCTGGGCTGTGCTTCCAATAACAGGGGGCTCTGCCAAGGCAATGATTCTGAAGGAAGGGTGGATGGGAAAAATAGATCTGAAAGGGAAGCAAAATAAGAACATATCACCTTACACATTAGAAATTAAGTCATGGTAGCTGATTCCCAGGCACTGATAAGCTTATTACTCTATTAATAATGTCAAAGTTATCACCTCAAGAATGACTGTAGAGGAAAAGTCAGGACACCCCAAGGCCCTAACATTAACAGAAGTGAAATAATCACTGCTAAAAAATGTTGTGCAGTAGCTACTTATGAAACTCCAGTACTCACACAAACCACTGCTTTTGATATGCTGCTATGCTTACAGTAAATTTTCTCCAAAGTCCCTTGAAATAAAATCCCATCCAGTTCAAAATCTCCTATCTTTCAAGGATCTTACTCTGTACCAGTCATTAAAACACAAAAGAGCTGTGATTTATGGGGGGAAAACTTTTCAAAATTTGAAAAATTTAGGTTCTAAATTGAACCTAAATTTAATTTAGGTTTAAATTAACCTTGGATCAGCAAAAAAAAAAAAAAAAAAAAAAAACAACTTTAGGTCTTAAAAAGGTAAAATCAAAATTTAACATAATTTGCTCTTCTTATTGCTATAAAGATGCTATGATTTTTAAAATAATCCTTTACCAAATTTCTGCCAGAAAATCTGAAAAATCATGTAAATATTCCTGGATACATGGAAGAACAAGATAAGACTTCCTGTAATTAGTGGAATAACGTGAATTGCATTTGGACAGGAATTAGAAATCCTTATTATAATCTTATCAGGCAGGTGATATTGTCAATTCTTCATCAGTGCTATGGCTAGTTAGAAAACCCAACAGAAATGTACTTTTAGAAGCTATAGTTCTTGCAGAGAAAAAAGAAAAAATGAAACTCAAGTGTTCACCATAATTTTCAGAAAAACAAAAATATAACTGGCATCTTGTTACACGAGAATTCAAGAGCTAAATGATTGGGCAGTTAAAATGCCAAAAGGCAGAACAGACTATGAATAGAAAAAATCAGATGAGAATCAGACTTTCAAGAGTTCAGCTAAAGAGAAAGGGGCATTGACAGTAGGCAGGTGGACTTGCATCCCTAACCTTGTGACCTGTAATTTTAGAGGGAAGATTACAATGAGGAAGGCAGGGAAAAGCAATTTTATTCATGGCCACATGAAAGAGCTGGATGAATTGATGAAAAATACCAGATATTATTTCATCTTTAGGTTTAAAAAATTTATTTATAGATGTTCTCTCGGGGCTCAGGGAATATGTACTAAAAAGTTATTTTTGGAGAACAGGGAAGGATAACAACATATAGTGCCTGAAAGTTCTGAGGATAGAAGGGTCACTCAGGACTGCTAGTAATTGGTCATATAACAGATAGGAGACATGAGAAATTCTAGGAGTAGAAAGTTAAAGAGGTAAGTTATTCTGTTTTCCACTCTGGCTAAGTGGTTTGTTATTAATACAAGCAACTCTGCCCAAAAGCCTGGCAACAGATGTTGGATTCATCCTTGATCTTTCTGACTCCTAATTAGGGCAAAAGGATGGGAGACACAGCCTGGTTTGCCTGTAAAAAATTAAAGCAGCAGATGTAGATTCTCTTTAAGATAGTAAGGAATAGCAAATCAGGAATGAACAACATCAAAATCTAACAAGCAAGCTAAAATGAGAAGTCTAATGTACATCTTTAAGAGATCAGGAAGTAGGTATAGCACAGCTGAACTGTAAAGTTAAGACTAGAAGAGCAACTGAAGTGAGAGCAAGCTAGGTGCTTTGACTTTAAATAAAGTGATGCTCACTGCATGGACATACACTGTCTATAACTTGCTTTTTAGTGTTGGCTTATACTAGGTACTTGAATGAATGGGCCAAAATTGAAAAGGGCAGTTTCCGAGCTGATGTGCTAGACAGAGAAGTGTGTGCTGAAGATAAAAACAGACACCAAACTAATGAATAACAGGATGAGAAGGACCTTTTTGTTTTCTAGGTTCTTCCCAAAGGCTTCCTTGCATACAAATAGGTCATATGGAAAGTCATTTCCTGATTCTGAGATTCCTCAAGTCTGAAAAATAGAGAGCAAAAGATCTGCTACATAGTTTTTAGGGTGATCTGACAAACCAGTGTGTAATGAATATCACAGCTAAAGGAAATGATACATGAATATGAGAACATGTGCACTATTTATTATGTCAATTACATCTCAACAAAGCTTTTAATTAAAAAGACTTCAATAAACTCCCATGGTTCATTTTTGTTGAATTTGTGTTGTAAGAAACTTGCAAGAATAATACAGGTGTTTTTGACATTAACTTTCTATACTATTACACTAATGTTCCAATTCAAAACCTAGAGATTGCACAGTTTGACATGTCAAAAATTATTCAGTTGCACACTTTATATATTCTGGTTACTATACATCAATTGCATCTTAACAAGCCTTTTAATTAAGAAAGACTTCAAGAAAACCCAGTGGTTCACTTTTGTTGAATTTGTGTAGTAAGAAACTTGAAAGAATAATAGAGAACGTTTCTTTAATGACATCAATCATATGCTGGAATAAGAGTTTACTTTGCAATTAGCCATCTATATTATACTACTACTGCTCAAATTCAAAACCTAGAGCTTATACAATTCTATATGCATCCATGATTTCCTTCTTCTTTGCAATTAAGTAAACTGCATGGACACATTCCTAATGTGTTGTTCTATAATGCAAGATATAATGCAACACTTGGAAGAACGTAGATACTAAATAAATAAATGTATATTGCTTTTTTAAAATAACCATTACTATACAAAACTTTATGAATATCTTTGATGTAACTGACAAACCAAAGTAAGTGATAAAAACTGAAATAATGTTTTCCCAGCCAAAAGATAGTCTAAATCTGTTCTGGAATGAATTTGTGAAAGGAGATGTAGTTTCTGTATTAAAAAGAAAACCTCAAGACATATAGTAACAAATAACTACCCCTTCGCAGGCACAAATTGTTCATTGACCATAAAAAAGTTCAGCATTATTTTCAAAATCAAAATTTCCTTAAGGCTTTTTATTTTGAGGCATAAAATCTTGCATCTATCTTGAATTTCATTACGAATTTGCATGACCTAATTTGCAGGAAAAGAGATCCTAAGACTTCTGGGAAGAGAGGAGAGAATGTTCAGATCCTATCTGTCTTTAAACATAGGAAGAATAAATGCAAAAGGGCTCAGAGAATCCAATTTACCAAATATGGTCTTCAGATATGCAAAGATGGTTCATCACTAATCAATAAAGACTAAAAGATTAGAAACTGTTTTCAATGCTACATAACAACTAATAAAACATTCAATAAAAACACAAAAATATTAGAGCATATCTAAGTATAACCAAGACTAGCCCACTAATCCTTATTACTTCCCTGAGAAAGCCAGTAGCCTTCATGATGAAATGAACCACTGGAACAGAGAAATTGTCACTCTACCTACCTATGTTTTTGACATCAACAGGAAGAGACACATTTAGCAGCCAGTAGGATTTGTATGCCCTCCTTCCCCCAAAATAAGTTTTTCTCATTAAAGGAAGCTATTCTATTTTGGTCCATATTTCCTGCATGAAATGCAGGCATTGTTGATATCTGATGTGTGTGGTCATCACACTATTTCTAACCACCATTATTGGTATCTTACACTAAAGAAGTTTCCAATATTTCCAAGAAAGTGTTAGGTATATGGTTACCTGCAAAAAAATATAAAAGTCTGAAAAGCATTCTGGAAATTATTAAGGTGAACAATCTTGGATAAAAGTGAGTAAACAATGAAATTTAGCAGAGGAATCAAATATAATTACTATATTCGGAAACTAGGTTTCATGCTGGCCACTGACACAGAGATTGGGCGTAGTGGCGCATGCCTGTAATCCCAGCACTGGGAGACTGAAAACAGGAGAACCATTATGTATCAAGCTGTATAATGAGACCCTGCACCAAATACATAAAAAAAAGAAACAAAGAAATAAAATATAGAGGCATGACAGAGTTCTGACAACATTAAAATCTCTGGTCCTAGTTATTTCCTGAGGTTCAACTGTATGTATCCCTGACCTTCACCTCATTATGTGAGGTATTAATAAATTCATTTTGTGACAACTTGACTTTTTGATTACTTATAACCAAAAAATCTTAATAAATATAATTTTGAAAACTGCTCCAATCTGGAAGAAGAACCAGGTTTACCAAACTGAGTCTAGAGCCAAAGACACAGCCTTGGCCCAAGAAGGAGCCAGAGGAATGTCAGAGAAGGTTTCACCGAAGAAGCCACTACTAGAGAAACAGCAGAAATTAGCTAGACTAGGTCTGAAAAGCAAAAGATAAGACTGAATAAGTGTTGGCCTGGGCACCGCAGGTGAGGGAAATTACTCAAGGGCTTAAATAGTCATATGATCACAATTATGGACTAGGCACTAAACATCTTGGCTAGGTGTAAGTACAGCAAGTTTTTTCATAGAATTAAAGAATTCAAGAGAAATAGTGGATTTGTAGAAATGATCTTAGAATTCCCCTGTGACATGTAAGGGAAGATATATAATAGTCACAAGGCACTTAGGACAGAAATAAAGTGTAAAAAGCTTTTGAAGAGTGCTCATTGTATTCATGATAGGGAAGTACAGGAGAGTGGAAGAGAATGCTCAAGAAAAAGCAAGGCTGGTTTATTTCACTTATGAGTATATCTTCAAGTGGCATCTACTTAAATATAGAGGCTTTGAGTTTATCATTCTTTATAGTTGAGTAATACTCCATTGTTTAAAAATAAAGCAGACCCACATGTGTAAATATCATATAGTTTCCCTAGTATAAGAACTCAAAAGAAATAAAAATGGAAAGGTATAACACAATTAAAAGAAAAGTGAGAACTTAAGGATTAGACAGTGAAGAAAGAGCAAGGAGAAAAGCTAGAAAACATGACAGGGGCAAAGCCAGACATTTATGTGCACAAGATGGTTAAGGGAATGATCCTGAGAATCTTCAGCAGGTTGTTTTTTGTTTTTGTTTTTTGTTTTTGGTTTGTTTTTGTTTTGCAGAACGGGGGATTGAACTCAGGCCCTTGTGCTTGCCAGGGAAGCGCTTATTCCACTGAGCCATCTCCGCGGCCCATTCAGCAGGCTTTTGAAATTAGTGGTGAATTGGTAGGATTCTTACCCTGACTAACTATATATGCTGATAACTGTGAACTAAGCAACTGCACTGAAGATAGCAATGTATCTTGCTTGGAATGCCTGTCATCCTGGTCTCCTAAATACGTACTGCTTGTCATGTCATACCAATCACTGCCATACTGTCTCTCAAGTAAATGCTTGTTTAAAAAAAAAAGGGTAATAAATGAAAACAAGAGACAAGGAAAAAAAAGAAAAAGAAAGAGGAAGGAGCAAGACCCAGGAAATGCCAACTTAAGCAGTGGTCTGGAGTCTTTCCTAACTTTTCAAGGAGTTACTAGTCACTTCCTCTTCTGTGTTTCCATAGCACTTTCTACTACAGACCTCACCTCTGACATTGAAAAACTGAGTTTTATTTATTTGTTCATGTGTCTATCTGTCTGTCTTCATATGTGGTTATTACAGAAGGTAGTGACTACCAATAAATAACCTGAAGGAAAAACAAAGTAGTACTATCTGTAACAGATACCTGTACTGTCCAAATCAGTTGTACCCAACCATCAGTCCACAGGTAAGAGTCACCTGGATACAATTCTTGGCACCCAGAGAGCAACTGACCCTAGAGATTACCATTATGATAGTCAAGTTTAATTACATCACTCCAAAACTGTAGCTGGAATAGCTATAGTTAAACTGTAGCTTACTAGCTTTAAAATTAGCTCTTTGGATTATTACTTATTAGTCCATAGACTGGAAGTTGTTCTTGGAATCCTGATATGCTTGGAAGACTTATTTATTTGTGCAAGACCATTACAGCTGTTATTTCTGCCAGGCAGCTGCAAGTGACATACTACTGCTGACCACCATCCTCATCTCTCCAGCACCCTCCTCCTTAGAAAACAGAATAAAAGCCTTTCTTGTAATTCTACCCTTGATCTTTTGCCCCTATCATCCCCATAACAAACACAGCAGCAATAAAAAATTAAGTGAAAGCTAAGTATGTTTAAATACTCTAAAGAACTGTAGTTTGCTGAACTTCAGTTCTGTAATTAAGTGCAGAAACGAAATAAAGCAATTTTAGTCATGAACTTGTAATTTATGTTTCAAATGCTAAAGCCAAGAGCCACAGGATATAGAATCAACTCATACATAATTGGTCATATTACTCATAAGAAAAGCTCATCAAATAAATTTTTCTTTGCTAAATATAAATTTCTTGCTTTTTACATTACTGTGTCCTTTTAGTCAACTTGTTAGGCAATGAACACAGTAACAAGTTGTTACCCAATAAATACAACTCTGAAAGAAATACAGACAGCTGATTCTAAAAACTAATGGATTATAAAATTAAATTAAAGTTAACCAGGAAATGGTAAAGAAATTTATTAGCATCCCATACTATAAGAAAGAAGTAGATTCTATATAATGACTATTCTGAACCAAATAAAAACTGTCTGTTATCCTAGGAAAATAAAATTTCTGGGCAATAAAGAAGGAATAGTGAAAAGAATCAGGCTTTCAACTGTAGAAATAACTTAAACAAGAGAGGAGAATCAGTGCTAGAAAATCTTGTCTCTGAAATGTTAATGAAGCCACAACAGATTGATAAAAACAAACAAACAAACAAACAAACAAACAAAAAAACAGAAATGAAATGAAAATTACAAGTTTAGCCCAGAAGGTTCACCATATATCCAAAGGATGAAAGGTACAAGGAAGTCAGAGGATACCAGGAAATTAGAAGCAGGAAGACGAGCAAGATGATGTGAGAGCTATACATAAGAACAAGTCCAAATCGGGATTTGTCAAAACATACTATGAAAGACAAAATTGATTTTAAAAATGTAATTGATAAATATTGGATGTGCCTGAATGTGCTGAAAGATTTTGACAATAGAGGACATGTTTGGAATGACAATGTGATATACACATATAGAAAACAGGGGCACTTCCTTTTTGGTATTTCCATACCATTACTATATAGGCCTTTACTCTAACCTATAAAATTGCATTTGGAATTACTTATTTATAGTTCTCTCTTCATATTTAGGTATAATAATTGCTAGCTTCAGAAAAAATATGATGTATGTATGAAAGGAAACTAATTTTAGTACTGTTTACTAAATGGCTCAGCTTTGTTGTACTATACTGTATTGTACTATACTTTTATAATGTCATAATCATGTAAAAATTGAACAAAGCTTAAATAAAAGTTATACAACTCATTAGGATGAATGGGGGAATGGAAATATCCATGAGAAAGAAGTGGTCAGAGAGCTAAACGTTTTTTTTAATGAGGACATCAACAGACCAATAAAACATAAATCAAGAAATATTACTGAAAATATATTGTTTATTGATAAAGAGATAAGTACTGAAAGAAACAGCTAACAGTTGAGAGTGGTATGAGAAGTAGAAAATAAAAGACAGTCATAGAATCATGCCAAGGGACTGATATTTTTCATTAAACACTTTGAAAATCTGTTTCTCAAAACTCTATCGGGCTCAAGTTTCATGCATGAGTAACACTGGTAAAGAGTCAAATAAAAGTTTTCAAGAGTTTGTGGAGGACAGCAAGTGTTGTTTGCCTCTAATTTCTCAGCCTCGCCTCTGGGAATTGAAGCAAGCCAGGCTTGTGTTTGTGAGACAGACACAGCCTGACCATACTGAGCTGGACATTTCGGACTACCCATTTGCGGCTCGGGGCACTACACTCCTGAAAGCATTTTCATTTGTACAAGTGCCTGTAACCCCCAAGGGAGAACTTGATCCACTTTGTAGAATAGGGTTGTCCTTTCCTGGATACTCAGTGACAAGTACAGTGCTCCTGATGCCCTAAGGGAAGCCACCTGGGCAACTTGCTATGAGCTATTGCCCAACTGCCCTGATTCACCTTTCTGAAAATATAAACTCTTCTCTGGTGATTCACACGCAAATAATGTACAAAAACCGAATGTTATAAACTAAATATATGAAAGGAGAGAGATACCACAGAACAATAAGCAGTTACATAATCAAGAGAAATTACCAATAACTTGTACAGAGGTAGTAAGGAGCTTAACATTTCTCCTCTAAGAAAAAATGTCAAGGAAATGCTTTTAAAACATTTCGCTGAAATGTAAACTCAATAGTGAATACACTTTATTACTTTTTGTAGGATAGTCTTGTTTTAAATATGAGGCCCTTTGGAAAGTGGGAAAGCTTTGATTAAATGTCAGATTAAGTGAGCAAGAGATCTCCAACATGCCAATCTCTAACTGTATTAAGATGTCAATAAACATGAAAACTAACTTATACCTGCCAAACCTCTTCTAAGGGAAAGTACAATATGATCTGAAAAGTATTTTCTGTTAAATCTTTCATTTTGAGATTTTCAATGACACAGAAAATTTAAGACTAGAAGATGAACACTCATATACTCATCACCTAGATTTTTCAATTATAAAAATGTTACATTTGTGTTCTTGCTCTCACTTGATACTTTTTGTTCATGTGACATATACAACTTTTTCTCCTGAATCATTTGGACACAAGTTGTAGACTTTTTAGCTTATCCAGGAGGCATCTCAGTAAGCATCTGCTAAGTAAGAGAATATTCCATGCATGACCACAATTTCATTATTATATTCAAGAAAATTAATATTAATTCAATATCATGTAATACATACATAGAACATATATAAACCTTTCTAACTATCTTTAGAGCTATTTTCATCTTGTACCCTATTCCAGGATCCACTCATGGCTCACCATTGTATTTGGTTATTGCCTCTGTGGACCCAGCTTTTGTTTTGCTAACGAGATAAAAACAAGAGGCTAACTAAATTGACAGGAAACATAGAATAGGTTACTTCTTAAAACCAAGATCAGCCACTAATGTAAAAGCAAGAGTACAGAGTACACCTTAGATCACAACCTCAAGTTCTAGCATGTGCTATCCATGCCTAGAATACCAAATTATTAAGCGGTGCAAAGTCATTTTGGTAGATTTAGAAACATAATGCAAAATGTTACTTTTTAGCAGTAAGTTAATAAGAACACTGTATTCAAATTTACCTCTCTTGCAGTTGCTGGTCAGACAACTGCAGCTCCTCTTTTAAGCGCATGTATCTGTCTTCTCTCAGCAGCCTAGAGCCATCATAGAGGCTGAGCTCTCGATCATGGATTAACCTAATGAGATAAGGAAAACATCAGGAAATTAATCATGCTTGAACGCTGATGTTATTAGAAGGAGAATTACACAGCCAACATTTTAATCATGTCTATTATTGCTGGCAGTTAAGTCTAACAATTATGCCACAAAAACCTTTCAAAATTTCAGGTTGGCTAGTACTATAATGCTTTAAAAAATATAGTTTCTTTAGGGGAAAGTAAAAGGCATGCATAAGAAGAAGTTGAAGAAGGAAGAGAGTGCTGAATAAGTGGCCAAGTTCATCATGAGGTATTTATTAATGAGGAAGCCAATTGGCACATACATCTAATGTAACTCTACAGAA